GGGGGGGGGGGGGGGGGGGGGGGGGGGGGGGGGGGGGGGGGGGGGAGGTCACGAAAAAAATATTTAGCCCCCCCCCCCAATAAAATATGTTCCGCCGCCCCTGCTTTGAACATTTAAAGAGGGTTGTTTATCCTTTATGTAAAGCATTTCATAGACGAGACAATCAAATTTGTTCTGGCATTTCCTCAATTGATTCCTATTTATAATTGGCACTTTTACTTCCCTCGACTTTAATTGCTGTTCCAATTTTCTGCTCGTAAACACTGGTTGCAGATGAACACCAATCTTTCGACTCAGGTCAACCATTTGTTTTCTGACTGCATTTGCTACGATTTGATCTTTAAAGGGCAGACAGAATCTCACAACGTTGCTTTCATCTGTATCTCGATTCCGTGTCTCGTTATTTGATATGATGAATCCTTAATGACCTTCTGGATAGTAGAGTCGATGAGACCACTAGGATTATCAAGGTGGGTGAAAATACAGGGTGTCCCAAAAAAAACGGAAACTATAGAAATCACTTATTGTTAAATTTGAATGCCCTACCAAACAGCTGGACGTAATGATGCGTAAAATATTGACAAGGTGCATGTATTAGAATTTAGTTAGGAATATCTCCTAGTAAAGTGCGCGATTTTCTGCTCCTGGGAATTAAAAACAGCTTCTTAAACAGTTTCTTTATGCATAAAATTTACTTATGTCAATCATTTACGCACTCGTGGGAACCAACAGAGCGCTAAGGCATTCAAATTCTAACAATTAAATTGTTATTGGTGATTTCAATAGTTTCCGGTTTTTTTGGGACACCCTGTAGAACGCAATCGTGAACATTCTTGGTCAAGGGCTTCTCTGGTAGAAGAAAGAGCATATGCGCGATGTACCATGGTTTTTAGAAGGCCTTCTTTGTGACGTTTATCTGTATGACTATTGAAGTATAAAAGCAAACCAGTGTTGGTAGATTTTCGATACACTTGGGTTTTAACTTTTTGCGAAGCCAATGGAAATAAGGATTTACTTAATGAAAGTCAGTTTCATGTGTTGAGGAAATGCCAGAACAAATTTGATTGTCTTGTCTATGAAATGCTTTACATAAAGGATAAACAACCCTCTTTAAAAGTTCATAGTGAATCCATCCATGCAAAACTCTTTGTTTAAGACCGTAGGCTTTTATTGCCATTATTTCATTTATATTATTCTATTGTTCTTACTTAGTATTAACATTCAAACATTTTTAGTTTTAACTGACTTGATAATGACGTTCTGTTAACGTCGAAACGTCGTCTAAAAACTTTTTATCATGTATATGAATAAGTACATTTTATCGCAGAACTTCATAGTAAAATAGCATAGAAGAGGCGAATTAGCTATTAAAACGTCCCGCCCGATGAGGGTCGTTTAGTAAAATTCCCTTGGGCGCCGCTCGATGAGGGTCATTTAGTAAAATTCAATTGGCAAAGCTTTCCCCCCCCCCCCCGTGCAGTTTCTCCAATAATTTTATAAAGTTCAGTGGCACTACCTAAAAAGATGATAAAACACATTAAAAGATGATGAAACGCATTCAAGGATGTTTTAGTCGAAAACACTTCATGCTTTTTCTACAGACACTGCCACGCCTATGACACCTGCATCATCACTAATCTTGTCCGTTTCTTCTCCTATATAGTAAGAAGTTGAAGAGAAAATGCCTGTTCCGCTTATCAGCGAAGGCGAATACATACCGCGGGTCGAGAACTTTGATTCTCTTCATCCAAACGACGACAAGCCGGTAAATTGCCAACCAAATAATGTCTCACCAAACCATCAAGCTCATGCTAGAATGTACCCAACCGATGCATCCCTACATATACCCACTCACAATGAAGCAAAGACAAATGGGAATCACGCTTCTACAAAAGTCGTAGACGAGAAGAAGTTTTATTTTCCCCCGTTTGATGTAAAACACCGGGCCCAAAGTCGACCTAATGAAGCAAAACAATCTCCCTATATTTTTGCTGAGAAAATAAAAAACCATTGCGTGGTTGAACCACATCATGGCCATAAACATTACCATAAGCATGAATACCACCATGGTGATAATGAGAGCGACCACATGTTTTGCTGTTTGGAAAATTCGTGCACAGAACGCGACGAGAATCCTGAATTCGTGTCAGATTGCGCGGAAGAGTTGAAATACAGTGTTAAAGTCCATGATAGCGTGATTATCCACGAGGCACCCCTGCAGACAACGAAGCTTCGAGTGCAGAATATTTGCTGTCCCAAGGAGGGTCGTATCGTGCAGGAGGAATTAGGCAAGCTACCGGGGATTAATACCATAAGAGTTAATATCCTAGGCCGTGTTGCATATATATCACATGACCAGGACAAAGTAACACCGCCAGAAATGCTGGAAGCCTTGAACAAACGCCATCTTGGGGCGTCCATTGTGGATGCAGGGGCGGAGGCGGAAGTCGATCATGGATTTCCTAGACAGCTTAAAATCCTCCTTGCAATCCTAGCTGTACAAGCTGTCTTATTCGGCATCGCGCTAGCAGCTATGTTCTCTCATGCCTCCTGGTACATGTGGGTTGCTATTGTTCAAATTAGCTTCGGAATGTTGCCGGTGTTAAAGAAGTGCTATCACGCAATCTACCATCTGCAAATCGATTTGAATGTTCTCATTACTGTGACAGTGATAGGCACGCTGGCCATTCAGCAGTGGATCGAAGGCGGAGCTGTGGTATTCGTCTTTATTCTGGCGAACTTTCTACAGGAGTTTTGTTTCTATCGCGTCCACAAGACTATCTCAAGTCTCATGCTAGCTAAGCCTTCCAAAGCAGTCATGGCCTGCACAGGGGAACTGGTACCCATTGAAGATGTTTCCATTGGTAAGTATTGTTGGAAATTAGGCTCATGCAGTCCCTTTTACCGAGTTTAACAATATTTTCCAATAGGCAACTCCAGCTATAGACTACGTTTTGATCTATAGGTAAGCTATAAGAACAAAATCTATTACCACAGCTAGAAAGGGCATGTTAAAATTAGTAAAATTGCAACGTTTGGCCACGAAATGTTGTAAAATGCGGAAAATATACAACCCTGCGAAATTTGCAAATTTTGTATTAATTTGTACAACTAGAAAATACATGCATGCAGAAACCCTCGCCTTGCTGACAAAACCAATGTTATTTTCCGAACATGGAGTATCTAAGGTAGTTGTTATGGTAACACGATAATTTTTTAAGAATATTCTTACAAATGAAAAATCGCCCAAAAATATCACTTTTAATTACAGAATTATCAATTTTCCAACATATGTATGTTAGGTACGTATTATTATTATTATTATTATTATTATTATTATTATTATTATTATTATTATTAGCATGACAAAATTACTGGATTCTGATTGGTTGAGAGGAGTACAATTATTTCATTAATTGTACTGCAGTACAATTAATGATTTTCCCAAAACAAACAAAATGGCGGAAAGATATTTTAAACACAAATGTGAAATGAAATTGCCGTGGAGGAACTAGATGAAAATACGAACAAAAGCACCAAATTTTACTTGAACAAAAGAAGTTACTCAATGAAAATACAAACAAAAGCACCTAATTTTTGTTGAAAGTCTGGCAGGACTGGGCTTTGGCGAGAGAATATGATGTTGAAATTGAGAAGTACGTATCCAATTTTGTCATGCTACTAATAAACAAGTAATCATGCGATGTTGCTCGTACAATTAGGGATTACTATTTACTCGTGATGTTTGGAAATTTGCCAAATTGGACTCGCTCCGGCGGCTCGTCCAATTATGGCAAAATTTTCAAACATCACTCGCACTATTAATCCCTAATTGTACAAGCAACATCGCATGATTACCTATACATATAAACTTCAATTTAAGGTAAAATTCAACCACAAACGCTTCGCAAAACGTTTTAAAGTGTTTTTTATAAAACTAAACTCGAGACTAAACTGCCTTTAATTAAATGGCTTTATCGATAAACTTCGAGTTTGCAATAAAATGATTTCAAATTCTTGCATGCAAATAACTTTGCTTTCTTTTTTATTTAAAAAATTCAATATAATAAAAAAGGGAATCAATATTAAAGATACACTGAAATTATATGCTGTCTTGTTTAGCTGTTTCATATACGCAAAGGCTGTCGGGTTTTAAAGCAATTATATAGGCTACAACCAATATTTAAAACAAACTTACCTTCGTTAACGTCAGCTCCCTTCTTTTAGCCGATTATTTCGCCCTTTCTTTCTTTCTTGAAATTTACAAAATTTTGCAAAAATGCGAGCAAAAATGAAATATATTTGCAAGAAATTTATTAATCATGCATCAAGTCAAGAAATGTTTGCTATTTCGTTGTCGTCATGCAGTCGTTATAATGCAAACCTTAAATTTGACCAATCACAGTGTTCGCTATCATGACAGTCCGCCATATTTTTGAGATCAGTGAGGATGACCACCCACGGACAATAGCGAGCTTAAGCATGTAGGACGGCAACACGACCACGACGGCGAAAACAAATTCCTTCAAATAAATGATAGTAAAGAAAACTTGTCGTATATTATAATTCCTATGAATTTAATACAGTATAGGAAGCTGAAAACATTGGCTTTATGTTTGGGAAGAGTTCTACTGACCGAATTTTAAGTTGCACTTGTTACGGCTTGAAGTACAGACGTTGTATAAAAGACGTGAAAATCTGTGATTTGCCGTTGTAAACAGAACGACGACCACGTCTGAAACTCTCCTGGGACTTTAATTATTTATTTATTTTCATTGACTCATTGTATTTGTTGGCGTCGTCGTCGTGTTGCCGTCCTACACGCTTAAGCTCCCTAATGAGCCACGCCCGCGATCATTGGTGAACTTTAGACTTCGCTAATGCTTTCGTTTCCCCGGGTGTAAATAGCCGGGGGAATTAGTACCCTCGCACGGCGCTTTGCGCCGTCGGCTCGGGGATTATAGGGAAAATGTACCACATTTGGGCTGAAAGTGGTGCACTTCCCCGTGCGTAATATAAATTAATACAAAATTTGCAAATTTCGTAGGGCTATATTTTCCTTATTTTACAACATCTCGCAACCAACCTTTGCAGTTTTACTAATTTTAACATGCTTTTTCTAGCTGGGGTGATGGATTTTGTTCTTCTTGCCGAAATAAAAATTTAGTCCGTAGCTGGAATCATCCATTAGGAATAGCAACGATTGACACACCAATCAACGAAAAGTCCAATTTAAGGATAAAATTTATTTATTTTAGCCAGTGCTTTATATAATCCAGAATCGAACTAGCGAGGAACGCTACGTGCCTGTTATTTTAAACCGTATTTAACACAAAGTTTCATTAGGAGACATTCATTGAGGAATTTTCTATAGTGCGTATTTGTGATGATAAGCGTTCAAAATTAAAAGATCTTTTTGACGTTCCTCTCAAAATTACTTTGTTTTAACTTTATTTTCTACTAGTTTATGCAGTTATTTTACTTAATTCACCTTCAGATAATCTGTAGATTGAGAAACATGATAATATAAAATTGACCGCATGTGTACAGCAATATAAGCAAAGCGTATACTGAAGTATAGACATCGTTTTCTCTTTAGCGTACCACATGCACTAAAATCTCTTTCTTTTAGCATTATATCGCAAATAAGATACTAAACATAATTTTTTGCTTCAGATTGAAAAACGTACAAACATTAAGAATTTTGAATGTATATTTTGAGCGTGTTAGTTTTAAGCGGGTGTTATCATACAAAATAAATAAACTCCTCATAAACTGACAACGGATAGTCCGTATAGACACAGCACTATTCAGACTATAGAATAGCGCGCTATACTGTTATGGTTTAAGGAGCAAACCACACTTGATATTTTAATTTATACTACGGCTAAGCTAATGCCGTATTCAAATACAACAAGAAGCCTGCTCAGGCGTTCGCGATGGCCGAAAAATGAAAACATGCATGTCAGACTGCAACAGAAAGCCAACAGAAAAGAGAGCTTAGAATGTGAATTGCCTGGTAGATCAGGTATAAATTACAGACAGCTAACAGCCTTTTTTTAGGATATTTCCTTGCAGGGGGGAAGGGACTATCTCCAAAAGTGTTTTCTTAACCACTGTGTCACTGTGGCAGAGCATATAGGTCAGATTAGTAGGATTTAACAAGCATGCAAGAAGGCATGACCCTAGCTATAATGATACTAATCTGGAGCGGAGGGGCCAAAATTAATTTTGCGGAGTGGCAGAAGGGGAAACTCGGGGGAGGGAACAAATGGTCCCAGGACGTTCGCGGTGCACCGCCCGCGGCCATCGCAATGACGGGTCGTCCGTCAAGACGTTGGCAATTTCGTGTGAGTAGAGAAACATATTATAGGCAGCTATGGTTCGTCAGAGGCGTAGCCAGGATTTTTGGACAGGAGGGGCAGCCAAAACCCAGGTGGGGGCAAAAAAATTTCCGGACCACAACATTTTAAATCTCTCCCCCCCCCGTCGACAACGGTTTTGGTAAAAAAAATTTCCGGAGAATAACATTACAATTGCTTTCGTAGCACTTTTCCCGATTTCCGTATCACTTTTTCCGATGCTTCACGACGAAGATTCCGACAACATTGACAATAGATAGCTTAAGAGGCTGTCTCCCTAAAAACCACTCATATATTTTAGGTAAAAAGCAAACCCACCTAAAACTTTATGACCAGGAAGGTTTGAGCTTTTAATTACCTGAATCGGTTTTATTTTTCTCAAATATTTTATTTTTATCCAGATATAGCGATCAATAGTCCCAGGGATCTCGGAAGCAAAATGGCGGCCGTCTAAAGACGACATTTCCTACTAATTCGGTTGCCGCATACGCGGAACTCTGACTTCCAATCTCAATCTTGATTTCATGTATTATTTATTCAAAACTTTGCACAACGTAACCACGTCTGATCCGCCTTGTCTGTAAGGCCAACACACCACGTCGAGTAGAATTTGATATTCCCGAATCTGGATTGAAATTTCCACAACTAACTACCATAGTTGTGTTATATAATAATTAGTTGAATAATATAATATGTTATTTCGTGTGGATCTGTTTGCGTTTCTTCAACAGAATGCTGTCAATATCCATCAAATTCGGCTTAATTCGCAAACGGAAACAATTGGCACTGCCAACTGTTCAAGTACTGTTGGCCAGAATAATTCGCTAAATACTTACGAGAGCACATGTCAAGTATTGTGTTTTAAAAAAGCAATGTTAAGTAGTTTCAAACTAAAAACTACTTGAAACTTCTGGGAAATCATAAATATAGAAAATATCTTGATTCTAGCACATTGCCAACAACAGAAAACGACAGGTCACGCACACAGTTGACCATTACCTCTATGCCATTACGTTTAATGTTTTACGCGTTGTACCTTGCAAGTTTGGTAAACAAATGTGTGATGATGAAAGTTTAGTAAAAACCGGGAATATTCCGTAGTGACCAGGAATATTCCTGCTTTATATATTTCTGCTATTATCAAAAATCTTATTATTTAAATACTTTCCCATATATTTTTCCCGCATCACGGTACTATACTTCCGGTATGCCGCATAATTGAAATCAACATACATATGTCATCATTAATTTTCGTCACTGGGCGCTTCTAGCTTTTAGATCGATGCTTTTTCCAATATTATATTATTGCAAACGTAGTTCTGTCGCATTAATATTATATTTCAGATTCTTCAATCAGAACGTTCTGCTCCTCTTTTTTGATAGCTTCGAGTTGTGCCTTCTTCCTGGCTTTTGCTTCCTTACTGATCCTAGCAAGCCTACGCCCAGCCTCCACCCTTCTGGGATCCTTGACGCGGATCTTTACCGGATTTGTGACAGGTACTGCCGTTGTATCTGGGTTTGCTTCCGACATGGTTCCTTTTTATTTATAGCAGGATTTAACTAACTTGCGAGTGGTCTTAAATCTAGTCAGGGGTATCTCACGAGTAGATCTGAGTTAACTTGCAAGTAGATCTGAGTTAACTTGCAAGTAGATCTGAGTTAACTTGCAAGTAGATCTGAGTTAACTTGCGAGTAATCTTAAGTCTGCTCAGAAGTACCTCAAATTCAGAATCAACAGTTTATAGACAAGACTTCCTACATATAAACAAAGGAACCATGGAACGATCAGTCATAAGGAGAAAACGTAGGCATGGATTATTCATCGACTGCCACGAAAAAGTAACACGGATCGAAAGGATGTGTAAAAGGGTCAATTATGAGGACATGATGTTTATTGTAGAAAAAATCGATCACGAAAATAGAAAATTGATAAGATATGGTTTCGGAAGTGGGTTAATGGGAAAAAACGCTGAAATACGTAAAGTAATGCCGGACATAGCATGGAGAGGGGAGGAGGGTATACTAGTTATCGCTAAACAGCGAAACATGTTACATCAGAAACACAAAGGAAAAGGGAGACGTGATCAACCTGGGTCCTGCTGACTTCCTTACCCCCGGCAACTATAAAGGAAAGAAGCTAAACGAAATGGGAGTTGTCCTACCAGGATCTAGTCAGGCTGCCAAAACCTAAGTGACGCAATTGTGGATCCTCTGCCTAAAAATAAGCATTTTAAACCTGAAAGCGGTGTTTTTGCCCTAAAATAGGGTGTTTTCATACACCTTCATGCTAAAATCTAGCCAGGTAGTGACCTGGTGGGGTTTTCAGACCATAGGACGCAGGTGCGGACGACCTGTCCTATAGATGGAATCAACAGCTTATAGACAAGACTTCCTACATATAAACAAAGTAACCATGAGACAATTCAGGAAGAGGGCCCAACTTTACTTTAACTGTTCGAAAAAATGGATCATATTGAAAGGATGCTTAGACGGGTGGAATACAAGGACATTGTGTTTATCATGGAAATCGGTACCGGTTACGGTCCGGCAAGGCTTAAAGTTAAGTTCGGAATGGGGTGGATGGGAAAGGGGGCCGAAATCCATGTCGTAAATAATTTGGGAGAACCAAAAGGTATTAGGGTTTCAATAACCATTTCGGAATTCACGCGGGTGTACTATTGCCGCATCGAAAATCAGAAGGATAAAAAAGATAAAATCTATCTAGATGTGCCGAACGGCATCAGCTACCCCTACACCCGCTTCCTCTACCCCAGACTCTGGCACATGGTAGAGCGACAAGAGGAAGCAGAAGAAATGGATGAAATACGTAGGGAGATAATGGAAATGTCGGACGAGGTACTGAACTGGGAGGAGGAAATGCTGGACGATATGCAGATAGAATCCGAAATGGAAGAAGCCCTTCAGGGTCAAGTTGATTAGGGTTGCCAGGTAGTGATCTGGTTGGGTTTTCAAGTCTAGGAACGCAGGTGCGGAAAATATGTCTCGCAAACAGAATCAACTTTTCCAAAACAAATCCTATACAATAAAGGGGACATCTCCCATACGTCCGATCGTCCGAAAAACTTGGAAGTATTCATTGCTTTTTCAAACCTTTTAGGTCTGGAAAAACAGAATCAACCTTAAAACCACCTTATAGATAAGTTTTGCTATATAATAAAAGCAATGAATACTTTTAATCCAAGTATTCCAATTTCGGACAGAAAATTCGAATCCATTGAACGAATGAGGACTAACGTCCTTGAGAAGGCCAGGGAGAGAGGTCTAGAAATAGAAGGGAAAATTAACAACCACTTCGACGAACTGATCAAGAAGGAGAAGAGGAAGATCGTCGGAAAGGAAGTTAAATCGGCAGCAAGACAGTTCCGGAAACGGAGAAAACAAACCGAGGCCGACGCGAAAAGGGAAATAAGGGATGCAAAGAAGTGGAAGAACGACATCGCTAAGGAAGAGAAAAAACGCCGAAAGGAAGTTACGGACTGGAAAGCCGAGGCCCAAAAGTGGAAGAAGGAAACACAATTAACGACTACGGCGGTACGCAAGAGCCCGGGAAAGACGGGCCGAGGAAAACCGTAGGATTGCAGAGGGTAAGTGGAAGGGTAAGAAGAAATGCGCCAAACTCCAGCTAAAACTTGAGGACAAACTAAACAAAATCCGCAACCAGCGAAGCAGACTAAGTTTTACCCCCAACCATCACAGACATCAAACATGCACACGGTAAAACGTTAAGGGGGTACACAATCCCGGTAACCGCCCCATTAACCCACAAACAGGTCATATCCTTATCAAAAGAGGAAGTCCTAAAACTAATTGATTCCCTGAAAAAGCCCATAAAGGTACAAATCAGACTAGAATGCATTATGGAAAAAACAGATCCCATTACAGGAGAAGTCACTACGGACACCTACTACCCAAGTAGCTTCACATCCAGCATCTTTCCCACGACCAACACCTCAGAGAAGTACGACGAAGCGACCGAAAAAATCTCAAAGGATATATCCGAATACCAGAAGAGCGGATCGGGATGGACCCTAAAGAAAACCATCAAAATGATTATAAAGGTCACAAAGTACCAGATCGTGAGGGGAGCCGGATTTTCCGAACTCCCTAAATTCATTACTAGAAAGAAGACGGTCATCAACATAAAGAACGAAGACGACATGTGCTTCAAGTACGCGGTCACACGTGCCCTACACCCAGTAGAGAAGAAAGCAAACGTTGTCAGCAAACTTCTCAAGGAACAAACCGAAAACTACAACTGGGAAGGACTAACATTTCCGGTTGCTGTTAAGGACGTAAAAATATTCTCAAAAAATAATGACATTGGAATTAACGTTTTTGGTATGGAGGAGATCATGGAAACAGACCCGGATAGTGATCGTCTGATAGCAGCAAAATACGTCCAACTGCTAACGGAACCGACCGAGGAGTACGAAAAGGTCATCAACCTCTTTTGGCATGATGACCACTTCAGCACCGTAAAGTGTCTAAGCCGACTCCTCTCCATTCAGGTAAGTGGGAATGGTAGATCAGAACATTTCTGTCCGTACTGTCTAAATCATTTTGGAACAGAACAACTTATGAATAGTCACACCAAGGATTGTTGTGAAAGTCGACAGCGAACAATATTTCCGGCTGCAGTAGGCGATACAAAGGCAAACGGGAAGAAACAGGAGGAAAAACCAATAATAACGTTTAAAAACCACAAACACACCACGGATGTACCGTTCTCAATACAAGCCGACACCGAATGTATGATCATGGATATTCCGGACAAACACTGGGAAGACAAAAAAGTCGGACTAGGCACAAGAAAGAGGTTCAGAAAAGTACACGTACCATATATGGCCGGATTCGACATCACATCAAACATGAAAACCGAGGGATTCGAACCTACCATGGTTATCATCAGAAAAAAGGACGACGACCACGACCTCATGAAGGAATTTTGTAAAGCAATGTCGGAAGCCGCCGCAAAGCTGTACGACAAACACTTCAAATCCAAGTTTCCAATAAATATGTCTCCGAAGGACGAAAAAGACTACAACTCAAGCGAAAGATGCTACCTGTGCTCTGGACTATTCAACCTCGTTCCCAGGCTCTTTGTTCTTGGGAAGCAAAGACCCTGGTCGGAGCTGGTCACGTGACCCATAGAAAATTGATAGCCCAAGAGGGGGATGGAAAAGTCTCATATTACATGTTTCCACTTCCGCAATTTGCAGTTCGATTGCAAGGAGTGGCCGTTCTGTACAATCATCTAATTCATCTTCGAGAATCATATATACCTCAAACTACTTGCTAAATTGGTTTCTGTTTGCTTTTAAATTATACAAACATGCTAAAATGCAGATTCTTATAGCAACAGAAAATTCAGGAAATCAAGCAACGAGAATGTATGACTGTACCGTCTGTACGCTTTGAAATATTTTTATTTTCTCGGGGTTCGCCGGTTCGGGCGTAGTTAAATTTCACGCGTACGTTTCTGTTCTGGCTCTGATATTTATAATATGCTTATTATATGCCAATGAATTGTTCTGATATGGACACGGTATAAATTTTGTTAAACAGATGTCTCAAAATCGACTGTTTATAGGTCGTAGGATTAGCGCCTTGCCGGTCTTAAACGTGACACATTTGGACACAAGCCAAATACACATTGAATATCCATTCTATTGATTCTAAAACTGTTTATAGACATATTGCTCTAGATTTTTTTTAAAAGGTTATCATCGTTTATATTAAACACCAGGAAGATAAAATATAACGTACAAAATTGTTTGAAATCGACAGTGCACAGCTGACATACGACAATTCATTATTCTCAACTGCATGAATTTCCTTTTTTGTCTGCACGAGTACCTGTTGGTTGAAGCCAAAATATTGCACAGCATCTCCTATAAATTATATCGCCATTTACCCTCTCCCCTTAAATGCAAAGGAATGACAGCAGAAAAGGTTTAGCAAAGTATTTTTATTACATCTGGTATAAAGTGTCCTACGTTTTATCAGGGATATACATAATTCATAAACTGTACCGGGTGTCCCAAAAAAAAGTACTCCTGTTCGATTCGTAATAACTTCCAAACAAGTAAAGATTTTTTAGAGAAATAACTTGCATTAAATAGAGAAAGGACTAACTTAGATTTTGATATATTACAGTTGTATTTAACTTAAAAATTCACGGAGATATTAATCTTTAAAATCGGGAGCATATTTCTGGATGTGTCTGAAATATGCAAAAAACGGCGTATCAAATATTAATCAAGATTTGCCCGACTGAAACATGCACGATTACCAGTAAATAAATGACACTTGACAAATTGTTTATTATGAAACAAAGCATTATTATATCTACAAAATACAAGCAAGATTTATTCGTCCGAAATTCGCGTATGTTCCTAGCACGAATACGTTTCCTTATTTCATGAGACCACTGCATCTCGAAGGATTGTCATGGATCGTTCATAGTTCTGAATTAGGGCATGCTGTCACAATGGAATTGTGAAGCACTTCTAACTTCTGTAACGTTTTGAAATCTTGTTAAGAACACCCAAACTCTTTTGCCTTTTCTTAATCTTGGCAAGTTCAGAGTAAACTGAGAATTATATGAAACACAATCAAACCATATAACTCCATAAGACATAACAATTAAGCAACTCCCCAGAGACATGCAACATTTTTGGAACAAAACCTAACAAAATAGTAGCGTTGATACGGTGATGTGTATTTGCAAAAACCAATATTATTTCCTTCAATAAAGAATAATATTCATCCTGCTCTAACCGAGAAATAATCAACTCAGTCTGTTTGAACCCATTAAAAACATAAAAAATTAGGCTATTTAAGAAAAATTTAAGCGCCTGCCTTCCATGGTCTTTCATGTACTTTTAAGTTTGTGAAGACCTAATATTAAATACTTGCATAATTTCGAACGTTCATATTTCAGGAAACAATGAGCTAAGACTTACATGTAAGATGTCTAAATCTACGCCATATCCCTTACAAACCCTAACGATAATTCGCTGAAATACAAGTTAGCCTGATATGTCATTAAGCAAACAAATTAACGCTGGAGTTAATATTTGATATGCCGATTTTTGCTAATTTTAGACACATCCCAAAATATGCTCCCGATTTTGAACATTAATATCTCCGTGAATTTTTAAGTAAAACACAACTGTAATATATCAAAATCTAAGTTAGTCCTTCCTCTATTTAATGCAAGTTATTTATCTTTAAAAGCTTTACTTGTTTAGAAGTTATTACGAATCAAACAGGAGTACTTTTTTTTGGGACACCCGGTATATGATGCACACGTACAAAGTCTCGCTTATATTAATGAGTTTTACAGTAACAAACCTTTTAAAGTTTCCATTGATTGATAGGTTGTTTGCCTCCAATATTTTTTGGTAAAACAGATTAAACTTTTAAAATGTCGCTTATATTACAGAATACGTTAAGCATTAAAGTTGATTTAAATATTGATAACTCACAGCGGCACTAATCCATTATACAAGTCTAAAAAAGCTGGATTATTCTTCAAAAAAGCCCTCAATGGACAATGCCAATGTCAATGAAAGGTCTAATATTATACATGTTGCAAATTACTGTATACACAAAATATGAAATAATTTATATAAAGTACAATACCAGTGTCTGGTGCATATATCGTCCTAGATATTCAAGTTGTACCGCACGCACGGAAACGCACGGAGGAGTCTTGGCGTTTGTGTGATAACAGATAGCTAGCTACACTTCGACATTATTTTTCTTGATCGTTGAGTTTCAGCAATGTAAATGAAATGAATTTTATAGCCAGTCCATAACGGGTTTTAATCCTGTGCTTTAGCTTTTACAGTCAAAATAGCACTATTGTTTACACATGTTGGCGATGTTTGGGAAATCAAAGGATCCCGTTATAAAATAAATCTTTTGTTTTGAATATCAGACAGGATACACTTCAACTATAAAGAACCATATCGTTCGTTTAATACCGTTTGATCGATCAGTCTGTGTAGAAGATATATATGTTTCTACGGCGATACGTGCTAAACTTCGCAAGCCAGGCGCGTGTGGAGTGTTTTCCTTGCAAGTGAAATATGATCCAGCTTCTCACTTGAAATGTAACGCAACACTTATTATTGATGACATTGAGGATAGCAGGAAGTCTTTGTCATGATCGGTACGAATTTAGAGCAGTTCCTTTCACAATCTCTTGTTGCAAATTACATTTTTATCATCCGAAATTATAACACATAAAGTTGCAATTTTCCAAACGCAACAAACAGACTCCTCTACTACCCCTCCCTGAGGTCAAATTCAATTTACCCCCAAAATCTGGGGGTTCACGTGACCAGCTCCGACCAGGATCTTTGCTTCCCAAGAGCAAAGAGCCTGGGAACGAGGTTGGGAACTATTTTACCCAGACAGCGGCAGCATATACCGAAAAGTCAGGGACCACTGCCACTTCACGGGAAAATACCGGGGAGCAGCACACAGCATATGCAACATATGGGCAAGTAAGCCAGACTTCATCCCGGCACTATTCCACAACCTTGAAGGCTACGACGAGCAGCTCTTCCTACCCAGCCTAGCCGCAAACGGGGAAAACGTAACAAGCATCCCCTTAAGCGAGGAAAAACAGAAGAGCATCTCCAAAGAAGTCCTAAGGACCAACGTACCAGGAAACAAAGACGGCAAAACAAAGGCCTTCAACCTGAGATTTATCGACAGCGCCAACTTCCTACAATCCTCCCTACAAAAACTGGCAGAAAACCTACCCAAGAACGGATTCAACTATCTGGAGAAATTCGTCGGAAAGGATCCAATCCTAAAACAGAAGGGTGTATTCCCATACGAATACATCGACAGCATGGAAAAACTGAACGAAACATGCCTTCCCCCCTAGGAAAAATTCTTCTCGTCGCTAACAAACGAAGGAATATCCGACGAGGATTACACCAGAGCACATGAGGTGTGGAACAGATTTGAGTGCAAGACCCTATGGGAGGTCTACCTCAAAACGGACATCACCATTCTCACAGACGTATTCGAAGACTTTAAAGTTCACCAGAGTAAAACTAGACCAAATAACCGATCCGGATATGTACCTTATGATCGAAAAGGGCATACGTGATGGAATATGCATGGCCGTAACGAGATACGCCAAAGCAAACAACCCACACCTAAAGGACTACGATCCGAACAAAGAGAAAAGCTACTTCCGCTACTGGGATGCTAACAACCTCTACGGATCTGCCATGTCAAGACCCCTTCCAGTTCAGAACTTTAAATGGATGACGGAAGACCAATTCGAAAAATGGCGCGACTACCCATGCTTTCTGGAAGTCGACCTGGAATATCCGGACAGCCTCCACAGCCTTCACAACGATTATCCCCTAGCACCCGAAAGGATGAAGATCGGAAAAGTCGATAAGCTAATATGTAATCTTAACGATAAGGATAGGTACGTCGTCCACCACAAAACCCTAAAGTTCTACCTCAAACTCGGGCTGAAACTCAAGAAGATACACCGTGGAATAGAATTCGACGAGGAAGACTGTTGAGATATACGACTCGAAAGTTGAGATATACGACTTCTGGTACAACTACGCTAAACCCACATGGAACGATAAGGTCAGACTGGTCATGACAGACACAGACAGCCTATTCGTACACATCAGGACAGATGATGTGGATGCAGACATTCTCAAAAGAGGTGACCATCTCAAATACTTCGACCACAGCAACTACGACGAAGACCACCCAATGTACTTTTCTGACAACAAAATGAAACTCGGCTTCATGAAAAACCAAACGGGTGGAGAGGAGATAAACGACGCGTGTGCCATACGAGCAAAGATGTATGCCTTCAGGATGAGCGATGGATCAGAGAAAAAGAAGGCAAAGGGTGTTCGAGGGTATATCGTAAAGGGTGGTCTTACATTCGACGACTACGTCAACTGCATGAACGATCCCGGAAAGAAACATATGGTGGAAATGAACGGACTCCGTAGTTACCATCAAACTATGTACTCCGAAAACGTCAACAAAGTCGGACTGTCCGCAAACAACGACAAACGCATCATCTGCGAAGACGGAATACATACCATGGCAATAGGACACATGGATTTAAGACAGTAGAAATCCTAACAAACCGATTTTAATATTCAAAGGAACATTAAAATTTGAATGGATTCAGGTACTCATCTATTTACCCCTAGTCGAACGCAAAAGCCTCTTCCAAGGCTCCGCCTTCCTTTCCCTCAGGTATACCCCCTTCTGAAGTAGTACCTGAACGGATACCATATCCCCGGACACATATATGCTTGGAAACCTAACCAAAGCATCCAGATGGAAGTGCTTGTCGATGGGTTTCATGGGATCTGTATCCCCTTCCCCATCCTTATACATCTCCGTGGTCTTGTCGATTTTTGCGTATAGGACGGGTTGTTTCCCACTCCGATACAAGCATCTTATGACTTTTGTTTCGGACTTTCCGACCTCTTCGGCACATCTTCTCTCCAGTACTTCCAAGGCCGATAAGAAGTCCTTGTGGTCTCCAACCGCCAGTGGGATGGTGAAGTTCTTCCCAAACTTCTTGTCCTTATTGATCCCGTAAGCCAATTAAGCAGTCCTTCAGCTGGAGGAGTAAGGGTCCGCCATCCTCCGCCACAAGTCCAATGCTTTCAGACCCAAATCTGTTTCCGACAGGTTCCTCAAAGTCAAACGAGTCTCCGGAGAAGTCTGATACTCTGGTAATTGACATGGTCCCTTTTATTATACACAAACTTTTCTCAACCATTTACTCCACCAAAACTCCAACAAGCATGCGGGACGCGGCGGGTGCGGCGGGCTTGCGGGCGATGTGGGGGACGGTGTGAAGGGGCTTCCGAAATACCGGGTCAACACCCACGAGGATTTGCGGCAAACTGTCAGAGCACGTCTGTGCGTACTTGCGTGCTTGCGTGTTCGCGACCACGGATGCGCGAGGACGGGGGGGTCCGGCAGGCAGAGGACCCCTAGGGCGGCGCGGGGAATTTGGCAACCGGAAGTGACGTCATCGATTCTATTCCGGGAAGGCGGAATTCCGGGAATGGGATTCCAGGCGTGCCCGTACTTGCCCGGATCCACTATAATTCTCCTTACATGAAGTATTAACCAAAGAGTAGCCAGAATCCGCATATTGACACTACTCACACGAAATAACATATTATTTAACAATTATTCGCCGAAGGCGAGGTGATTATCGGTGAATAAAAACCGAGACGAAGTCGAGGTTTTTATTCACGATAATCACCGAGCCTTAGGTGAATAATTGTTTTAGTATAATTTCATAGGTGATTATATGGAAAAAATAAAAAAATACACATTTCTTCGTCATTTAATTGACAAAAAGGCTTCGGCCGCCATTTTGAAAATCGCTTAGGTGATTATCGCGTAATAATCACCTCAACGGCAACCAATCAGCGTGGAGAATTTTCAATAATCACCTATGTAATTATACTAAAACTAATTATTATATAACACAACTGTGGTAGTTAATTGTGGAAATTTCAATCCAGATTCGGGAATAGCAAATTCTACTCGACGTGGTATGTTGGCCGTACAGACAAGGCGGATCAGACGTGGTTACGTTGTGCAAAGTTTTGAATAAATAATACATGAAATCAAGGATGTTAGTATTAACGATAAATTTCAACCACTTGTTGTTAAAAAATATCCAACCGGAATTGAGATTGGAAGTCAGAGTTCCGCGTATGCGGCAACCGAATTTAGTAGTTTTCAACCGCCATTTTGCTTCCGAGATGCCTGGGACTATTGATCGCTATATCTGGATAAAAATAAAAAATTTGAGAAAAATAAAACCGATTCAGGTAATTAAAAGCCCAAACCTTCCTGGTCATAAAGTTTTAGGTGCGTTTACTTTTTACGTAAAATATAAGTGGTCGGTTTTTAGGGAGACAGCCTCTTAAAAGATCTACGACTTCGACATCAGCTAGGACGTCAGGGTTAAGCAGAGGCAGTGGACTAGGACGTCGTCCTAAATCAATAAGATTCACGACGTAGACATTTAAACTATAAAAAACAATAATAAATAATATTTAAAATTTATATAGCGCAAAATACATATGTATATGATCTAATGCGCTTAAATATTCACATCCTTTTGAAAATGAATTTAAAGGAGACGGTGAATTCATTACCATTATCGTTTGTTGTGCTCTTGTATCCACGACAGTAAAACTCTTGTTGTTACGTTGTCGACGTTTGGTGGAGCACGAGCAAATTGAGAGAACACATGCACACTTCAAAAACTATACCAATTTACTTCCGCTTGTCGCCCAAAATGTTTGACGTCGTGGATCTTGAGCTATCGACTTATTTAGGACGACGTCCTGGTCCCAGTCCTCTGCTTTGCCCTGACGTCCTAGCTGACGTCGACGTCGTAGATCTTAAGCTATCTAATTTTCCAACGGGTCTCAACATGAAGCTATATAATCAAGGATTCCCTTTTTTATACAATACATTTTATCAGTGGGGCCCCAAAATTTTGCCAGGGGGGCCGGGGCCCCGGCCCCAGCACTGGCTACGCCTCTGTGGTTCGTCTCAACAAATCGACAGCGATCTCCTCTCTTCTCGAATTTCATCTAGAGGGATACGATCGTCAGTCTCTAGTCTACAGTTAATCGCTTATGAGTTTGAACCATTAGTCATTACATTTAACCACAACGTCAAAGTCAACATTGTCAAATATGCATGATCAATTTGTGGCCTTCAACTAGTTAACGTAACGAAGCAGTAGAAAGAGGCCAATTAAAGTCGTTCGCGTACCCAGAGCTAAGACGTCTTGTCGCCCTACACAAAAAGATTACGCTATAGGTACCAGAATGGATCAATTTCAGAAAATAATGTTGAAAGTAATAAAAGAAAAATAGGTAAATTTGATCCGCGGGTTGACCATTATCTGCTACATGATAGTGCTTAGAAAAACCCAGTTATTTAATCAGAGCTTTCTAACCACACAACGTTTTTCTGGTTCTTGTTTAGGTTCTATAATAGCAGTGCGTCAAGGTGAACTGATTCCATTGGATGGAGTAGTGGTGAAAGGTAGCGCATCTGTAGACGAGAGCTCAATTTCAGGCGAAGCTGCGCCCGTGGAGAAAACTCTGAAGTCCCAAGCATACAGCGGTACTGTTATCCAACATGGCTACCTTGAACTGGAGACAACCTCTTCATCAACGTCATCAACGATTTCAAAAATTGCAGCGATGGTGCAAGACGCGCAGATGAATGTCTCGCCAACTGAAATAATGATGAATAAATTTGCGAGCTATTATACCCCCTTGGTCGTGCTACTCGCCGCCATAGTCTTCCTGATACCCTTGATTTTACATCTCTCTGGTGTGTACGGGGGCAGTATCAAGACTTGGGGAGAACGAGCGCTCATCGTGTTGGTCACCGCTTGTCCATGCGCTCTCCTGATGGCCACGCCTGTGGTAGTTATCTGTGGAATAAGCGGTGGGGCACGCCTTGGGACGCTGATAAAAGGAGGCACTTTTCTCGAAGCTCTCTCCCAAATCGAATTTCTCGCATTTGATAAAACAGGGACTTTGACCGAAGGAAAATTTCAGGTGAGATTGAATTTGTGTGTTTGGCGGCAAATTTATGCAATATGAATATTTAATATTATTTCTTACATACTCTATATAAAATATTCCTAATTCTGTTCCCAACTTCGCAATTCGAAGTTTCCGCTCGCTACTCTGGTTTTAGTAAATGAATGCAATACCCGGTCAAATTGCATTCGCGACCTAACGTTTCGACACTCCAGCATAGTGCTTCTGGGCAACGTCTTTGTCCATAGTGATTGCTATTGATAATTAACAAATCGAATAGGTTTTGTGTTCATTGACAGTATAAAAACCATGCAGAGTAGCGAACGAAATTATGATATTATACCTGGTTGCCGTGAACTCGCAAACTCTATTAAATTTCTAAACTTTATATTCTTGGGTTTTATGGAGCAGATATTGGCATGTTCATATATTTTAATAGGTTTGATAACACATATTCGTTGTTACGGTCACACACGCGTGCGAAATTCATTCTACAAATAGCCTACAGAGCGTTTGCACATGACTTCACAGCCGCCATGTTGGTGTTCCAATTCAATTAAAAGAATTTTATTCAGACTCTTTTGTCTGGAACACCAACATGGCCGCCATGGCTTTTGTTCAGTTGGTCCCTGGGGAATAAGTGCCAACGTTCTTTTGTTTCGTGTGCTTAAAAAAGGAGCACCGACTTTTTCATGCATCGTTTTACTAACAACAGCCAGAATATTAAAAAATTCTGTAATGGCATTTTCTTTAATAACTAAAAACGAAATACTTCCGTCAATTTTTAATTTTTGGTACAACGAAAGACACTTATAACTTATAAAATACAGCATGCAAAATTTGAACATAAGTTTGAAGATGGCGTGAGCAACTGACCATGTTAGGTGATCGAAAATTCTTTAGCTCATATTCCCGCGGAAACGAATGGTCACGCGGGTTTGTTCGAATAGCATAAAGTTTTGCGAGGATTACTATATCAGAGCCACCTTAAGTAATATTAGTTGCATTACTCCTTTCAACACAAGACGATTCAACTGGTGAATGAAAAAAGTGTTGCCTATTTTAAAATGGTTATTTTTTTCTATGACTTAGTCTTGAGTGTGGTCGGTTCAGAACGTTGACCTTGTACAGTTTATCTTAAGGTGGTTGATCTTATGACAGCAAGTAAAGATGAAGAGAATGATGTGATGCGCTGGGCAGCCGCTTTGGAAAGCAAATCAAGTCATCCGTTAGCGGCAGCCGTTGTGACCGAGTTCACGGGAGAGTGTGTTGCTGATTTCGTGAATGATGTCGAAGAGATCCAACTGCCTGATGTCAGCAACTTCAAAACGATGGAAGGCCAAGGTATATCTGGAGTTGTCGAGGGTCATTTTATCGATATTGGCAACCCGGCAATGTTGGAAAGATTGGACGTGAAGCTAACCCCTGAATTTGAGACTGAATACGATAGACTCTGCGCCGAAAGCAAAACCGTTGTGTTCGTCTGTGTTGACGAGGAACTGGCACTAATGATCTCATTGGCTGATATCATACGCGAGGAGTCTCATTTGGCTCTTAGATGGCTTCAAGATTTAGGCGTGCATCTGGCTATGTTGACCGGAGACTCCAAGGAGACGGCAACCGCTGTACAAAAGCAACTCAAACTCGACTCGTGCGTCTCAGAGATGAAGCCGGATGATAAGCTGAAATGGATTACGAATATTAAAGAGGAACATACGCTCAGGAAACGCCGCTGTTGTAGAGGGGTAAGTTAATACAATGTATATGTAAGAAAATAATCCAGTCAAACATTTCTCAATACGGACCTTCGAAGGGACAGAGCAAAGTGTTCGTATTATTAAGGGATGTCGTTTTATATAGAGATGTCACGGTAGTACCCAAAAGTTAAACAAGTTTCCGAGAGCCCCCAAGAGCCAAAGGTATGAGATTCTTGTGCCATTGACGCGAATATCTCTTGGGGTAGCATGGTGTATGCCCACCCAGAAAATTTTGAAATGTAGGATTCAATAGGTAGAGGGGACAAATATTATTTATTTTAAGATACGATTGTAGCTGTAGTGCTAGTGGTCGTGTTGTACAAGTCACACTAGGGGATTTTTGTTTTTGGGGGGGGAGGACAACATCTGTAATGGTCTTATACACATAATAAACTATATTTCTGTTGCAAAATTATTTGCCCCTTGAAAAGGTAAGTAAAAGCCCTTCCACCTGTAATTGAGAAGCGAACCATCAGTGTGGGTAGTACCAATGTGAAAATGCTGTGCTGAGTGGTTATATTACTACCTTAAAAAACAACTTCTTTTTTAAGGTAGTAATATAACCACTCAGCACAGCATTTTTACTGCATCATACTATGTACTATTGTGAATCTCGGTTTTGGAACGAAACTCTAAGCAAGTGAATACTCGGAGTGCCCATAGAGGCTATAAACCATTCTTGCTCCCTGAGGTCGACAATTAGCGTCCAGAATATTCTCTCGGAGGTGTTTCTGAGAGGTGTCCCTAAATGTTCGATTGTAATTAACACATTTTTAGGACCTTTGTCTCGGTTCTTGACTTCTTGCATCAACAATTTTAATCCATGAAATATATAATCTCTCTATTGGTTCAGTGGCACTAATACCTTTGAATTTGTCTACGTGGCTGCCACAAGGTGGCTGCCACCAAAAATTCCAATATATTTGCCATTTTTAGAAAAATGAAAAAATGCAGTCTGCTTTAAGACAAAAAATGTACCCTAAACCGAGAAATCCAGTTAATTCTACACCTCAGGGTATAACAAATTCATATGTCAGCATTATGCATTGCAAGAGAACCATTGAATTCCGTTCTTCATATATCTATAAAATGGCAAAACATGAAGGCCTTATCCCATTACCTGGGTATTATTTTAGGTTAAGGACATCAATGTATTAGGTGTCCATTAAAGCTGTTTCTAAGATCCTCAGTAATTTTATTTGGCTCACATCCTCAGTTTTGGCGCAAACCCTATATTTTACCCTACATAGGAAGGCCTATCCAAGTTACTACATGTATGTTAACGGCAAATGTAAAAGTTACTGATCATGTGTCAGCTGAGCATAATCTACCATTTTTGTCTCAAATAGATGACAAATTAAAGCTTTAATTAAAAAAAAATGTTTTCGATGTGGAAGACCACCGGTGCGACAACAGGTACTTATCAGGTTTAAGACAACAGAGGCAGAACGTCCATTTTGTCTCTAGAAATGAGGCATTGCGCAAAAGCAACAAAAATACCAGCCTGGGGTTAATAGGTTTATATACTTGTAACGTTATTACGTTAAGTCTTGAAATCTTTAATAAGCTCTAAAATTATTTATTTATTTAATTCGCTTTGTACATATTACAGTGGCAGGGAATCCGCAACAGCGTTTGCCAATTACTGCGGGCCCGAATAAATAAATTACAACAATACAAAAATTAAACAACAAAGAACCGTACTAACAATTCTTATATACGGTACAATAATGACGCTGTGAGGCTACGAACAGAATTACACTTAGGACATATAGTTTTATAACTACGAGGATCCTCAACATCGTAACACGAGTACAAAGAGGAAATATAGTAGCTAAACATTGCCGACTTAAATGACGAAAGACTATTCGTATTCAAATCAAGTTCATCAACGAGATGGTTCCATATTCGAGTTGCCCGAATCATGAAAAATCTTTGATATGTTGCCGTTTTGCATTTTGGCACGACGAACTTAGGACTGTTATTGGCGGAGGATCTAGTCGATCTGGAAGTGCGGATAGTTGGATGTAGTGATGCTTCGATG